TGAAAACGGTATTACATACGTGTTATTATATTTGATTTCCTATGAAATAAGTATGAAAGAAAATAATGAACTGCGATGGTCCAATATAAAGCCGCAGGTCATTGACGATTGATACCCTATAAAACAAGAAATACGGTTGAGAATCTTTTAAAGCTAGCCTAGTGCTTTTAAAACTTCCTTCATAGCTTACCTTTACAATACAGTTCAAGAAGAAGGGTTTGAAATATAGAATTGTAAAATTCTGACCAAGAAACAAGACGCCATGTAGACGTTCACTGGGTTGCCTGTATCATGCACAAAGGCTTAATAGGTTTGCAATGTTAGCCAAAAGATAATGGAATGTTTCATAGAAAAGAATGATTTTTAAAAAAAATCAAAACAATTTTGTTTTCTTTGACACTTGGTGTCTAACAAAACACTAACAATTAATTATTTTTTCATTCTATTTTATAATATTGAAAATGTAGAATTAGAACAAATGAATTAAATACTGAAGTATATCAGTTAAATTACCATTTTTAAGAGAAGCCATAATAAGATTATCTTCTCCCTTAAGGTGTTCTCTACATACTATTAGAATAGTTGTAGGTTCTGCCCTTTTGTAGGCTATAAAAGAATCCGTTTTGCTTTGTGCATGTCACACTACTTGTGAATTTGATCTTGCGCCATGATGCAACAGGATCAAATATCCCAATGTTCTCAGTCAGAATTACCAATGAATTTTGTTATCTTTTTATTATCCTTTGTTATTATATTATTTACTAGGGTGGCTGTTTATTTTCCTTGTCAGAAAATGCAGAAATTGTGCAATAGTATACCCAGAAGTCTTCAAGGCACCACCCACTAGTCCTTTGCGGGCATAAGATATAGAGTTGGAAGTGCAGTAAATGTTTTTGTCAGCAAACTTTGTCTGGAACGATCGCGGATATTCCTTATGTGACTTATATCTTAGTCTGTTCCTTTTAGTCAAGTTTCGGRTAAGACCAGAATGTCTAGATGGTTAGAGTGGATTTCCTAACAATAGATCTTGCATTCAAGATAGCGAAATTAATGGAAAGCTGAGTTTTTGATTGAGCACCAAGAAGCGCAACAGGTATCAGATTGTTGACATTTCTAGAATAGGTTCCCATTGAAGATCGACGATGCGTAGAAAGAATGATTGGAATATGTTGAGACTCATATCCACTTGGCTCGTAACTCCATTGAAGACATTTATGATTTCGCTGTACTCCCTTGAGAGATTTGAACACTTCACTGCAGCGCATTCCGGCCAAACCTTCAAGTCTGTGGAATCTAAAACGGGTCCTGGATTTGGATATACATCACCAGAGACGATTATTGCCGAAGAGGTAATTTTAAACGTTGCAGTAGAATTGTGAGGATAAAGTATGCTATCTTTCGTTCAGCTATTTGAATTTTAATGTCGTAGATACAATCCGTGAATTTTTGCTGCAATTATCGGGAACTTCGATGAAATATTGGTTTTCC